TAGTTAATTGTGTTTTACGTTAACTCCATAGTGATGCATCAGTAGATTTAATTGACTCACTGCAGGTTTTTTATAGTGTTAATGTGTGAATACTGCAGCTACGTTTGTTCATGAAATTAAAAAAAAACTCAGGAACACAAAGTGTACTTTGGTACAAACTGCAGCAGAAACACGAGCTTGACAGTCTGGTCTCATGAGAGCGTTCTGATGAAATGGATCTGTTCTCAAGAAACGTGGCAGATGAAATAAAAAGCGCTGGTGATTGATACGAAGGAGACGGCGATATCATCACCTCCGACAAGGTTAGCAAGGAGTCGGAGTGAATGTTAAAGGCAGAGTTAGACGAGGTGACGCTCCTCCTGATGGCGCTTCATGAATATCTGCTTCAGAAACAGAAAACACCTTCCCTATGTTTTGTTAAACTTTCTTTCCTCGTGGTGTATTTAATCAGGCCGGCGTCACAATTACAGCAGCAGGAGCAGCTTGCACAGAGCATCTCTTGGACGTGTGGAAAGCGTGGCGAGCTGTCTACCTGAGGAGTCTGCAAACCGACTGGCTGTGCAGCTTTTGTTTATTCACTTCAGCACTAATTGAATCACTGAAGCTCTGCTGTTTCAAGTGAAATTGCCGCGGCTGGTTAAATTTCCCAATGGCAAAAATAACACGTTTATACCTCGCAAACAACCGCTATCTGGTTGATCTGCTGACGTGCCCCCATTTCTCACCGGATCCATGTGGGTTTTTAGCATGAATTATTCATAAAACGGTGACACGAGAAAGAATTCACAAATTAGGTTAAATAAAGATATATGGTTTGTTTTTGTGTGTGTGTGTGTGTGTGTGTGTGTGTTTAAAGCCACATTGATGCCATCTTTCATTTCAGGCGGTCCTGTGGAGATACAAGTTCTCCCAACTCAAAGGATCATCTGATGACGGAAAAAGCAAAATTAAGTTTCTATTCCAAAACCAAGACTCTAAATCTATCGAAGCAAAGGTAATCCGATGTGAGAGGTGTTTAATCAGCCGACGGGGTGACCGAGGACGAATCGTATTGATTGCTGTGTTTTCTTTTCAGGAGCTGGAGTTCTCGAACCTCTTCGCCGTGCTTCACTGTATTCACGCGTTCTTTGCTGCCAAAGTTGCTTGTCTGGACCCGATGTTCGTGGAGAGCCAAGGCACCGCCACCACCGCCGGGATCCCGTCCCTGTCCAGCCTCTCCTGCAATTCACAGACACCCAAACTGAAGTACACCACTTGACAGGCGCTGCTTCCTCCGTGGACGTGGTCCGAGACTCTGGTTGGAGTTGGGACTCGGTGCTGGGGGGCGGACGGACACACCGGTGGAACTAAAGACCTCTTTGCGAGCGGTTCTCTCCGTATCTCTGCTGATTTCTGGGATTTGTGGAACAACTCTGGACCTAAACCTCTACTTTGAATAACTCGGACACGCAACACGTGCAGATGTTTTTAAGTGATTTTCTTCCCGAGCCTCAGATTATTACCAACACTTCACACAGAGAAATGCAGTTCTTCTCCCGACTTAATCTGCTTTTCTATGTAATTTTACTGAAGATCTGGAGTTTCACTAGATTTTAGCCTTTTTTTTTCGACCACGTCACACGACTTCTCCGAGGATGATTCTGGACGACACTTTCTTATGAGATGTTTCTCCTTTTTCTTTGGTTTTTAGGTGAAAACTTTTTGCTTATAATTCAATTTGCTTTTTTTTTTTTCCCACAGATTGAGTAAAACTTGAAGCCAAATGGAAACATCTGTCTGGTCTTACAAAGCAAAATCGTTTAAGTTTAGACTAAATATAATTACGCTGAGGTTTGCTGGCGGCATCGGTGGACGGAGTTAATGCTTTAGGCTAAATTGAATTCCTTTGTTTTTCTTTCTATGGACGTATACTGAAGTGAAATAAGAGTTTATCTGTTTTCCTGATAGAGAGGCTGTAGGAGAGACTAGTTTTTATGGATGAAGAAAGACACTTTGGTTAGAAACACCTTCCACGATGTTTATAGCATTTTCCCTCCCACCCTAAACTTGATTATGTAAATAAACACTGACATTCAAATGAACTCAAAGAACTATGAATTATGGTGATTACTTGAGGGATTTATTTGTAGGGATTACGGCATTTGTTAATTTGATGTGCACCCGAGACGGCTAGCTAGATAGCTCATCATCATTTACTCTACGGACCAATTTAGAGGAGTAAAATCAGCGATGGTGGGTTTTTTGGGAGAGAATATTTTATCTTTTTTTTTTTTTTTTTTGACCTCAGCTTGTAAATATAATAGAGTAAAAAAAAATAAACTTTACATCGACAAATGAGAGATAGAAATATGTAGCATCGTGGCCTCCAAAGGTTTGAGATTCCCCTTTAAACTGTTTATAAAAGCTGCGGAGTGACAACTAAACTATCGTTCAAAAAGAGTTCAGGTCAATTAGCGCAATTAGTCATGCTCTTACCTTCCATTTACAAAGAGGAGTCCAAACAGAAGAGGCCCGTGGGTAAGTAAACTCTAGAGGATAGCAAATTAAATGGGGTCAGTAAAGTGCTTAGTACTGTGCAGCCTTGTTAAGCTGATATGAGTGTCTGATGGAACCTAATGGCGGTGGTGCAGTCTATGCAAAGAAAGTCTGAGTGATGCTTTTGTGCTTTAAAAAAAACATTTACCTTGGTCGCATATACCCTTATAACACAGGATCTAGAGAGTGAGGTTGATTTTATTTTTTGCAGATGTTTTATTAACAAATACGCTGTGTAATAAATTAATAAATGACACCTTTTATATTGTGGCTCGCTCGTGGTCGGCTTTGCTTCTACAAACTTGTGTCACGTTTTCAGATGTCGTGTTTTTATTTGGTGGGGCGGTGGTTAGCACCGTCGCCTCGCAGCTAGAAGGTCGCCGGTTCGGTGAGGACTACAGACTGTACAAAAGATGGACGTAGCAACCGGCCCTGAAAATTGAAACCAACCCGGAAGTGTCAAAAACCTGCAATATCACTACGTCCACTAGCTGCTGGCTCCACAAAGCCCTGGCTCCCATAGACTGGAACTGGAAAAGAAGTGATCACAGGTCATGAAATACTGCATTCGTACAGCTCAGGATTTTTTTCTTATTAGTTTTCATGGTCAA